ATAGAACATGAAATCCATACAATTTATAATGGAAAACATAAAAGAAAAGGTAATAAAAAACTCTTTTGAAGTGCTAATCGGAGTCCCTTTTATGATTCCCACCATTTCTTCACTTGATTTCTTCAATTCCTTCTTGTTATTTTCCTTGGAGATTCAGCCTTTTTTTTTTTTAATCTTTTCCTCCCATTTCCAACCTCCCAAATTAGGTTTTTATGGTGGTATTTATAGTGTCCACTAGTTGCAAGACGGAATAGGGTTGGACCGGGCCGAAAATATTATAAAATTTCCAATTTTCCTCTTTCTCGGGAACCGGCGCCCCGGCGCCCACTTCGGGTAAAAATGACAACTACACCTTCTTTCAGTATTTTTATCATAATGTTTTAATCCAATGTCCGATTCAGGTGATTCAAGATGTGTTGGAAAGCTAACTCATCGGACTACAACTTTGATTGGACATAATTCTCGAATTCGATCATTTTCTGTGCCAAAAAAAGGTCTCAATATGAGACTAAAACTCCGGAGCATAACTTTTCGGTTGAAAATTAATTTGTGTTCATCTTTTGACTAAATTTGATCCCTTTGACGTCTTCCTCTATCCAATTAACTCTGAACACTCTCAAATCATCATCGTGAGGTTCGGCACAATTTTTAAGTATTTGCACTTTAGTCTTCTAACTTTAGATCTCTTACAATTTAGCCATTTCTCCAAATTTGTCAACTTTTGCTTATTTTCTTCAATCCTATCAACATACATCACTACATCAAAACACACATAAAAACACTCTAAAACTTTCCATGGGTAACAAAATAATGCATCAAGTGGTATAAATATCATGAGTGTGGAGCACTCATCACCCAAGTATTAAAAACAAAACTACCCATTTAAGTCCATTCATTTCCCTCAAACTCAAGCCCACAAAACTTGACCATTTAAGTATTAAAATTTTGACTTGGCTCCAAATGAACCACATATTAACTGGGTTTCTCCTTCCAACGTTGAAAAATCGCACACAAAATTCAGAATTTCCTTCAAACTCAAGCCATGAGTGAAGAGAATAAGGTGTCAAGTTTTTTGGTATTACCGGAGAATTGCATATCATATATATTCTCATTTACATCCCCAAAAGATGCTTGTATTGCATCCGCTGTTTCTATGGAAATCAAATCTGCAGCTGAATCTGATTTAGTGTGGGAACAGTTTCTTCCGTCGGATTATCAAGACATTATTGCAAGATCGGTTTCTCCGGTCGTTTATTCTTCCAAAAGGGAACTTTATTTTCATCTTTGTGATTCTCCTCTCCTCCTTGATGGTGGCAAACTGGTAATCCACTTATAATTGAACATTCCTTATAGCTTTTAGACTTTCTTGGGAGCCTTGATTGACCAGTTGCTTCTCTATCTGTCAGTTCTTGTGTTTATTTTTATTTTTATTTTTATATATATATCTTTAATCGAGGTAGTATTTGTTTCTTAACATGTTCAGAAAGATGGTTAGAGTTTTAGACAATTCTGATTGTTCATTCGAGCTTGATGGGGTCTCATAACATATTTGAGTTGGGTTTTTGTCATAAAAAGGTTGAATATTGCTA